TTTTTTTTTTTTTTTTTTTTTTTTGACTTAGATAAAAATTAAAATAAAAATTCAGTTTACTGTTCTTTTAGTTGCACATATTTGGATAAAAGATTTTTTTTTAACTGATCGGTCAATATTAATCCATTAAAAGAACATTATAATAATTATTTTATATATTAAAATTATATTATCTTACTTTTTTCTTTACCAATTTCCCTATGTTTCCGATGACACGAAACATTTTTTTATGGTATAGGTGTACCGGCATGCTCGGCAAACGTATCCATGATGACACGAAACATTTTTTTATGGTATAGGTGTACCGGCATGCCCGGCAAACATATCCATGTGACTAGAAATCGAATTTGGTTACACGTCTCGTCAAAATCATCACTCCAAGGTTGCACGTGCATGTAGTTCGGATGGGGTTTTCAACACGTCTACGGGCATGGCGTGTGCAGGTGGCCTGTTGCGTGATCACAATGGTAAGTTCTTGGTTGGTTTCATCATGAATATTGGATTTAGCTCCATTATGGGCGCAGAATTATGGGGGTTGTTGCAAAGTTTGAGTTTAGCATGGGACTTGGGATATCACCGTGTTATAGCAGAGGTAGATAGTAGGGTGGTTGTGTACTAGGTGAATAGTCAAACTGATGTGGAAGGGGTGCATAGTAGCCTAATATTGGCTACGAATGAGTTGATGGAGCGGGATTGGAATGTACTTATTCGGCATGTTTATCGGGAATCAAACTTCTCGACTGATTACTTGGCTTCTTTAGCGGCAACTAGTCTAGGTGGTTTGCAGCGTTGGGAGTTCCCGCCAGCTGGTTTGAAGCCTTGGCTTGAGCACGATGTGGTTGGAGTGTCTTACCAACGTAGGATAGCTTCTTAAATTTCCTCTCCGCTCTCAGTACCAAAAAAAAAAAATAAATAAATAAATAAATAAATAAGAATAATTGTTATTATATATTTTCTAACCATACATTAATATATTATCATTTTTATGTAATCGCCCCAATTTATTTTATATGCACAATTTAAAATTTGTCTCAATTTTTTTAAAAAATATATATTTCTTTTTACTTTTTCATATTTTTTTTTTTTATAGTGACTAATTCTTTTTGAAGAAAGTCTTATATCCAACTTGCAGCCTTTCCATATTATTTTTTTAACCTTTTTTTTACTTGGTTTATTTTTCAGTATATGTGTTAGGTATTGAACAAAAATACGTACTTATATTTTTAAATATTATACTATTTAAATAAAAATGCATATTAATACAATCAAATGTCACATTTTTACATATATTGTTTTGCAAGTTTGACAACTTCTAATAGAAGTATAAATATTTGTATAAAATTGATGATAATTAAACGTCACTTAATTGGCGAACAATAGCATTTGTAATTTTGTATTAAGCTATATATAATAGAAGGGATTCTTACAACATGAAGAAGTACAATTGATACGATCAGTTTTGCTATGAAGCCATCAGATGACTCGACTTATAAAATCCTCCATAATTATTTACAAATAATGTATTAACACATGTCCTGCAATAAATACAGATTAGACACATGTTAGTATATAAAATAATAAAGACTCCATAAGAAAGTCATTCAGTGACTCCATAGAAGAGTCATTCGATGGCTCCATGCATTGTTTTAAAATGCCGACATTTTCAACCGTAGTTGTGTAGTCAAATTAAGACATATGATCTCCCTTAATAATCTGAAGTAAGAATTAACAGAAAATTACCAAATTCATTCAGAATTTACAAGAACTTTTTTGAGAATTTAAAAATGTTAGTATATTTGATTCTAACTTTTTAAAACTTTCCAAATTTTTAAAAAGTATTCATTTCAAATAGTCTTAAAAAATTACGAGGTATTCAATTTATTTATCAGCGTCGTTTACTTAAACTTTTTTAAACTAACTAAAATTTCAAAGAAAAAAACACATATACAAAATCCTTCACCAAATCCCATTTACAGGCTTAAAATTTCTAAAGGAAAAAAAAAAAAATCACAAAAAATAACTACATTATTAATATATTTACTACATTATTAATATATTTTAAAATGAAAACAGCCCCTGCAATTTCTAAATGGGGAAGATGACAGAAAATTATAGAGAACTTATTACAACATACAAATAACACCACATTATAAAAAGGAAGATGAATCCTCAAAATCTATAGCATATATCCAACATCTATTTATGAGTCCAATTATTAGAAAGTCAGATATTAACACGCCCCTCTCATTCTGAAGTAGTCACAAGTTCAAAAAATTAATGAAGTAATAACCAAGACCTATGTAAAAATTGTGCCAACACCAACCATTAATCCCGCGTGGCACCCGCGTGGTCGTGTGTCATCATCCACGTCAACTAGAGGGCCCACCACGAAAAAAATAGTTAATTTGAAATTGTTATCGAATTTGTGAACAAAATAAAATAAACAACACAAAAACACGATAATAAAACCCGAACACGACTATGATAATTGATAAGTACAATTTGCCACCCACACACCAAAACTTAGAGCATCCCATAATAGTTGATAGTTTTTTTTTTCTTTTTTTCTTTGATGCGTGACGCGCAGGCAGGTGTGCCTTCAACCGTGAGGCTTCGGGCGACTTGCGTTCAAAGACTCGATGGTTAACAATATTACGCAAGTCACCAAGTATCGCATTTCGCTACGTTCTTCATCGAATAATAGTTAATAGTTAATACAAAAGCTTTACACATAAGAAATGTCACTACATTTATTAATCTTTTCCTTTGGAAAAAAAGACTAAGTTCAGTATATAGGCAGAGAATGAACTATAAGTCAGCATAAACTGTAAAAAAAAAGTAACACAACTCCTTGCCAGGCCCTAGCAACAATGTAATAAAGCTCATAACAATTCTGACTTGTTCATTTTCCCTACAAATCAAATCCACCTGCTAACTTACATGGCACGCCTTCGATTTAACATATGTATGTAGGAAAGGATTTATAAATAATAAAAAAAAAAAAAAAAAGAGAACGCGAAAAGCACAAAAGTAATCGATACCTTCATTAACTGAAAACTGCATCACTATTCATCCTCGGGTAAGAAAACCACATTAGAATGGTCATCCTCATCATAATCTTCCTCTTCCTCCTCGTCATCCTCAGTATAGCCCGGCTGCCCATTAAGATCCACACTCATCACCCCATTCACCTTCCTCACGAACTGGCCCCTTAGTCGGGGCCTACGCTCGGCAAGCTTCTTTCGATTCACGTATCGAATCTTTTTATCAAAACACCTTTCTTTCCTTTTCTGTCTGAACTTCATCAAAGCTGCCTCCCGACGGTCGATCTTTGCTGGTGGCTTCTCAGTTCCCTCAACAGATGGGCTCCCAAATGACGGCCATTGATGGTGAGGATGATGATGAGGTGGGCCCGGAATCTGGCCTGGAATCGGGCCCGATTGAATCTGGCCCGGCTGCAAGCATAAGCCAAACGGGTAATAAGGGTAGGGTGGTGGCATGATGTGATTGTACTGGGGGGGCGGCATCAACGGGGAACTCGCGGCATGATCTATCATCTTGTGGGACCCACCGGGGGGCTGCATTGCTGCTGCTGCCACCTGGCCCATCATGGCGGGGGGCACGTAGTAAGGGTACGGGGCGGGATGCGGGTAATGATGATGATTAGAGATATGATCGTTTGGCAGCGAGTCGTTCCTTAAGATGAAATGAGGTGGTTGTTGTGCGAATTCGTCTGTGGATAGTGGAGAGGGAGTAGTAAAGGATGTTTTTTCGAGGGAAAACGAGTTGGAGTTGATGTGGTAATGATTTTCCGTGGGGACTCTGTTGTTTTCTTCTTGTCTTTGGTTTGGTAAGTTTTCGTGCAAAGAGGAAGGGTCGTAGCTGCTGCTGCTTTTAGGTGTGGATGATTTTACGTATGTGAAGAAAGCGGATGATTCGCCTATCCTGAGTTCCTTTTTCTTTGGGAGTGGTGAACTTTGTCCTGGGAGGTGATTAATATTCATTTATTAGCTAAAATTTATGAGATAAAATATGTGTATTTAGTAATAGAAGTATACAATGTTTCTGTAGTTTCTTGAACATTGAATCAAGTAATGTTATTTTTCTACCTCGCTGCCTGTCGATCAATTCCGGCACATCAGGCTGATAATCTGAAGGGGCCCCACAAGTAGTCTGTATTGGAGCACCATTTGAGGTTGCATGGGCCTGAAAAATACAGATCGGGTCGAATATAACCACCAAATCTCGACGTGAATAAATACATATTTCTATTTCAACAGATGCTGCTACTATCACATTATGAGAAACTCATGTATCATGAATTCAAATGTATGTTTATTGTCAACATCAATCCAAACAAAGGTGGCAATTGATTAAATGTAATGGAAATTATTATCTGTGGAAAGATAACAAAAAGAAAAGCCCTAGTCTATGAAAACAATACAAATCATCCCCATCGTTCTCCCAAAAAACTTGAACTGGTCTCCAATCAAGAATTGCATACATAACATAGTGCATTGATACTCGATATTAGAGATCAAAACTCACCTCATTCTCCTGATGAGTTGAAACACATGTGTCCGGGTTAACGCCTTTTCGCGACTTGTCATCTGTGTCATCCGAAAACAAAGTTGTGCTGTTGGTATTAGCATCGCTAGGATCCGAGACAACCAGATCAAGATCATAATTTATGATGTTCTTCTCTGCTAATCCAAGCTGTCGAGCAAATTGGCATACACAAAATGTTACAAAATATAGAGGAAACCTTCTATGATTTATTTCTTACACAATTAAGGGTTTCGGCTGAAAAACATATCGGGAACTGTAAACTAGTGTTAGGTTGGTGATTGGATTTGGGGGATAAAGTTGCAAAATTTGCCTTTTCCCAAAAGCTAACTAGAAACACCGATGTATTATATTCTTTATCCAAACCAAAGTTCCAATTCAAACTATGACTCCAGACCCTGGATACATGAGAGTTACTTAACAGCATTAAATAACACAGAGAGAACAGGATATAACAAAATTTAATTTACCATTCGCCTCAAGGAAAGCAACAAAGTTTCAGGACAGTTAAAAAACAACTAACTGAAAGGAAGTGATTGTACCATTCGCCTCCTTCTCCACATGTGTGTCCACAGATTCAAGAGCTCATTTGTACGTAATGGCTTCACAAGATAGTCAGCTGCCCCAAGTTTCAGACATTTGACAACAATAGGAACCTCATCTTGAGCGGACATCACTAGCAAAGCAAAATCAACTATTATAATTAAAAAAAAGTAATACTAATAAAAGTTGAAACAATGACATTCAATTTAGTACAGCTAAAAGAAATATGAATTATATACTTACTGATCACAGGAATTCGACGCAACTCTTTGTCCCTCATGATATATTTTAACATCTTCATTCCTTTAGACATTGGCAGGTCAACTTCAGAGAGAATGATATCTATATCTGGCCCCTCGGCATTCAGTGCATCAATCACTTGCCTTGGAGACTTCACGGATGTTACTGGAAAACAAGAGCAATTCACATTTAGCACGAAAAAGAAAACATCCTGGTGTAAAATGCAATTTATTGATGAGGAAAGTACATGTGTCAGTGTGTAAAAGATTTCATTTTGTAACGTGAAAGCTAGTTGAAGGAAGCGATTACTAATCTAGATCCCCAATAATCATAATCTCAAAAACAGTCGGGTTTCACAGAGCCTATGACTTACTCAGACATAAAACATAACAACTTCTATACCACTAAATTTTCAATTGGGAACACAATCCAGTAACATCTGGTGACTTCACTCAGTCCGTTCTTAGTCCTTAATAGGATTTTCGGTCGGGAATATACTCTCTAGTTAAAATGCTTACACAACTCGTTAGCACTAATTGCCGATTAAATCCGGGTGGATTTTTTTTGCAGAAAAGGAGTCTAACAGCTAAACCATGGGAAAATCCCAGAGAAACAACCTCATATTAAAGACACAGCACCTGTCTTTCATCTTAAATTCAACATAAGATACAAACATGAGGTGATACACCTAAAATAACATCAACTAACAAGTTTAATTTTCATTCAAAGAAACAAATCAATTAAAAGATCAAGAGAATAATCCAATCAAACAAGGACAATCAGAAGGGTACCTTGATAAGAACATTTACACAAAAGTGTGAAGACTTCCTCAGAACTTTTTTCATCATTATCACACAGCAAGATCCTAACTTTACTCCGATCGATGAAACTATCCCCGCCTTTCCCCATCTCACTCCTATCCATCTTAACCACCTTGCCCACAAA